CGAGGCGCTCATTTTCACCCCCCCGGTGGGCACAGATTTGAGGATGTCTCGATCGGTTTGCTGGTTTTGGTGGCCAGGCTTTGGGCAGATTCTTTTCAGGAAGTGCACTCGCGAGGACTCCAACCAGGCCTCAGGAGGCCCCAGGAGACGCCCCACATTGAGGGTCCCAGGAGGCAGATCAAGTCGAGACCACAGAAAGACTCAAGAGGCCACAGGATGTCCCAAGAGGCTCCTGGAGGCCCCAGGAAGCTCCAGAAGGCCTCAGGAAAGCCAGCGGTGCCTCCCAGGCTATCATAGGCCGCAGGTCGCTGCCAGGAGGCCTCGGAAGGCAAAAGCGAGGGCCCCGAGAGGCTCCGAGGTGGAGGAGGCGTCAGAAGGCAACAGTGTGGCTACCTCTCTCCATCGACAGAGTTTACGTTGCTCCTATCGATTGGGGCCTCTCCTGGAGCACGATTCTTTGGATGTTTGCTGACCGTCATTGAGAAGTTCTATAATTTTAGATGGTCCTTCTCCTGTGTACACAATACTAAATGTTTTACTCATGTTCCTATATATTGGGCCTCTCCTGGGGCACGAGTCCTTGGTGTTTTACGCGTGTTCCTATAGATTGCCCTTCTCCTGTGGCTCTAATCCGCAATGTTTTATGTACGTCTGTTGCTATAGATTGCGCCTCTCCTGGGGGCACGAAACCTTCCTGACTTCGGGAGAGGTCCAAGAGGGCTCTGAGACCCCAGAAGAGTCCCAGTAGGTTTCAGGGCCCGGAGGCCCCAGGTCACGAAGACAGTGACGCGCTTCGTACTACTGAGGACTCATTCACACTCCAATTCATTCGGCGTTTTAGATGATGTCCATTGACCGGTCACAATGAAGGCCCGTTACTATTCGAAAGCTCTTGCGCCTAGACATTCACGGCGGACAGGTCCATGCGAGTAGATGCACATATGGGGAGCTCCACGCAGTGAATAATTATTACTTGGACGCCTCCTACTCCTTCTTCTCCCTCCTCCTCTTTTCTTCTCCCCTCCTGTCGGACTTACTCATACTCACACTTGCTCATACTCAGACTTACTCATACACAGACTTACTCATACTCAGATTTACTCATACTCATACCTACTCATACTCAGACTTACTCATACTCAGACATATTCATACACAGACTTACTCATGCACAGACTTACTCATACCCAGACATACTCATACACAGACTTACTCATACCCAGACTTACTCATACACAGTATTATTCATACTCAGACTTACTCATACCCAGACGGACACATACACAGACTTTCTCATACACAGACCTACTCATACCCAGACTTACTCATACACAGACTTACTCATACACAGATTTACTCATACTCAGGCATACTCATACTCAGACCTACTCATACTCAGACTTACTCAACACACATCAGATTTGGAGGATGTCTCAAGCGGGGCGCTGGTTTCAGCACCCCTAAGGGGGGCCGCCGGGGGTGGTTGCACGGGCTCGTTCGCGGCCATTTTGTGGGGATGTCTCGGGCGGTTTGCTTGTTTCTGGGCTCAACATCCTTCGCTTGGAGAGCAGATTGTGAGGATGTCTCAGGCGGGGTGCTGGTTTCAGCACCCCTAAGGGGAGCCGCCAGGGGTGTTTGCACGGGCTCGTTCGCGGCCATGTTGTGGGGATGTCTCAGGCGGTTTGTTTGTTTCTGGGCCCAACATCCTTCGCTTTCGGAGCAGATTTGGAGGATGTCTCGAGCGAGGCGCTCATTTCAGCACCCCTAAGGGGAGCCGCCAGGGGTGGTTGCACGGCTCGTTCGCGGCCATTTTGTGGGGATGTCTCAGGCGGTTTGCCTGTTTCTGTGCCCAACATCCTTCGCTTGGAGAGCAGATGATGTGAGGATGTCCAGGGCGGCGCGCTGCCTTCAGGCACACCCTAAGGGGCAGCCGCCGCTAGGGGTGGTTGCACGGCTTCGGCATCTCCGCCGCGGCCTCATTGTGTGGGTTCCTGGGTCAGGCGGTTTTGCTTGTTTTCGGGCCCAAACTACTTCGCTTGGAGGAGTAGATGTGTGACGATGTCGTCACGCGGGGGCGCTGGTTTAGCACCCCTAAGGGGAGCCGCCAGGGGTGGTTGCACGGGCTCGTTCGCGGCCATTTTGTGGGGATGTCTCGGGCGGTTTGCTTGTTTCTGGGCCCAACATCCTTCGCTTGGAGAGCAGATTGTGAGGATGTCTCAGGCGGGGCGCTGGTTTCAGCACCCCTAAGGGGAGCCGCCAGGGGTGGTTGCACGGGCTCGTTCGCGGCCATTTTGTGGGGATGTCTCAGGCGGTTTGCCTGTTTCCGGGCTCAACATCCTTCGCTTGGAGAGCAGATTGTGAGGATGTCTCACGCGGGGCGCTGGTTTCAGCACCCCTAAGGGGAGCCGCCAGGGGTGGTTGCACGGGCTCGTTCGCGGCCATTTTGTGGGGATGTCTCAGGCGCTTTGCTTGTTTCTGGGCTCAACATCCTTCGCTTGGAGAGCAAATTGTGACGATGTCTCAAGCGGGGCGCTGGTTGCAGCACCCCTATGGGGAGCCGCCAGGGGTGGTTGCACGGGCACGTTCGCGGCCATATTGTGGGGATGTCTCAGGCGGTTCGCTTGTTTCTGGGCTCAACAGGGAGGGAAATGACAGGAACGAGGGTGAGGAGGAGGAACACGAGGAGGAGGAGGACGAGGCGGGGGATCGTGAGGAAGGGCATGGGGGTGCGGAGGGGAAGGGGGAGCAGGATGATGAGGAGGAGGAGCAGGAGCAGGAGAAGGGAGGGGGCGGAGGAACAGGAGGAGGAGGAGGAGGAGGAGGAGGAGGAGGAGGGCGCTTTGCTCGAAGGTCCTTGACGCGAGCAGAACGTTTGTTCCGAAGTCCAGGACATATATATATATATATATGTATATATATATATATATATACATGTATTCATAAGGGGGTGACTTCGAGGGGGGGCGGTGGTTGTGTGCGGGGATCGTTGGAAATGCTCACCGTGGCACTATCCTCCAACAGGACATGCACTTATGGCCTTGTGTGGCTAAACGCTCGTCTTACATATCCCACTGCCAACTATCCTACAACATATGCACATGTGGGAAGCTCCAAAGCTACCACGGGCTGAAAAGGGGAAGGCCTGGCAGCTGAGGAGGGGGGATGAGGAGGAAGAGGCTCGCATTCAACCATACTCAAAGCTCACTCTGACTCATACGCAATCACTCGCATTAGGGGTCACTCGTCTTCGTCGGCCCTGTCGCCCACGTGGACGCGCTATTGTAGTCGACCGCTCATGAACAGGCGCTCACCACGGCATGACATAAAACATGAGATGCACATATGGGGAGCTCCACGCAGTGAGTAATTGTTTTCCTCGCCATCCTCCGTCTTTTCTCTTCGTTCTTGTCCTCCGTCACATCCTCGTTTTGTCTCTGCAGCAGATGATCTCCAACGGGTTCGGTCCCGATCCCGACCCCGATCCTCGTCCTTGTCCACACTGTCCTCCTCACTTTCCTCCGCTTCCTCCTTTCCTCCTTCGTTGTCCTCCAGTTCTTCCCCGTCCTCCGCTGTGTCCTCCTTGAAGTCCTCGTCTTCATCCTCGCCTGTCTTGTCCTCCTCAGATGTGCCCGCGATGTGGAGAGAAAAAGGAATGTCAGTTTCATCGCATATGGGGTTGCTCGCGCAACACGGGAGCCCCAACATATGAGCATTCCGATTGTCTGGTGCAGGACGCATACGCCAATTGAGAATCAGCTGAATGCTTCTGGCTCCGAGGTTTGTTGCCGTCGAGTTGGGTCAGCATCCCTCCACCACCCGAGGAGGAAAGCTACTTCTCGTCAGGTTGCACCACCAACGATGGGAATACAGTTTGGTTCGGCACAGGGACACGGCAGCAGCCCTTATATCTCTTCGGGGATGCTAGTGGCGGCAAGTATTCGAGCGATTCGAGGTTCAGACGGGTGGGCCTCGCAGTCGCAGCTGTGTCCTGCTTCGAGCCTCTCACTGTGGCCGCTACGGCTACTGGGGCTCTGACTGGCCCCCGCCAGTCGGTGCCGCGAGGCGAGTTGCGAGCGCTGCTTTTGGCAGCAGAGTATTAGGCAGGCTCCGTGGTCTACATCACGGACAACCAGAACGTGTCGAATGGCTGGGCCGAGAGACGCTACCTGCAGCCAGAAGGTGTTGATGCAGATCTTTGGCACCGTTTGGGTTCGCACTTCATGCAAAGAGATTCATCCTCATTTGTGGTGTTATTCGTCAACTCACATCTGGAGGCCAGTGACGTCATGACCCGTCGCTTTCCTTAGTGGATGATCCGCGGGAATACAGTTGCTGAAAGTATTGCCACTGCTGCTGCCGAGAGGTGCCAAGTCTTTCAGAGTGATGTGTATCGTGTTGCGTCGTGGGAAAAAACGGTTTTCTTGGTCCGCTTACGTCTTCTCATAGCCACGGTCGACACGCTTGAACGGGAGAAGGAGTTGCAGGGGCCTGGCCCCAGGAAGAAATCGAAACCCCTCCAGCCCCTCCTCCATCTCCGTCTGTTGTGCAAGTGTTCACCACAGGCCACCGCCTGGCAGAATGCGGACGTCGCTGCCTCCGTTGTTGTAGCTCCGCCACGATTGCCCGTCAGTCGTTGTGGAGGGACACGCCTTGTTTCCAGCCGTCGTATGTCAACGGTGTGGTTTTCGGGGTGGCGTCAGGGGCAAAGCTGCACTTAGCTGGGGGCTCGGTGCATGAAACGCATCAGACGCGTTTGCATGGTACCTTCAAGCTCTGGTTCTGTTCGAGCTGTGGGTATTTTGCTAGTCAGATGATCAGAGGCCTTGGGCAACCGTGCCCGAAGGCTCCGAATTCCAATCGAGCCGAGTATCTATCCAGAAGTGAGAATGGGCAATGGCCCAGGATTCTGAGTCGGGCCGAGCTCGCTCGTCGGGGGTCCTAGGTTTTCGGGATTCGCTTCGCGACTGGTCTCGCTCACTCACTCCTCGCCGCCTCGAAAGGTGGATGGCAGCGCAATCGCCGGCGGCAGTACCACCAGCAAGGCGCGGTGCTTTGTGCGCAGCCCCCTCCCCCCTCCGCATTCGGGAGGCGGAGAGGGGAAGAAGTGGAGGGCAAGGGCCGAGAGCGGGAGGATGAGGAGGATGGGTCGGAGGGAAAGCAATATGAGCGAATATGTGCACGATGATGGTGCTTCTGCAGATGATGGCGATGATGATGATGATGATGATGATGATGATGATCATGATGCTGGCGATGATGCTGATCATGGTGACGCTGGTGATACTGATGATGACCACGCTGCTTATGCTTATCATGGTGTGTACATTGCTGCTGCCGATGATGATGGTGAGTGTGATGATAAGATGCTGACCGCGACGAAGGCGATTACGTAACACCCCACAGTTGCGGATAAGTGGGTTGTATGGGTGGTGCGTGGGCTTGTCTTAGGTGCGCGCACGTGGTTGCCGTCGAGCCAAGTGGGCCTGCGTGGGCTTCATCTTCTTTCCTCTGTCGGTGGCGGGTCGCCCTCCTCCTTCTCTCACTTCCTGCTCCTCCCTCTCCTTGCTCCTCCCTCTCCTCCTCCTTCTCTCCTCCCTCCTCCTCCTCCTCTCTTCCTCAGTCCGCATCCTCGTCCTCATCGTCGTCGTCGTCGTCCTCTCCATCTCCCCCTCTCTCTCCTCCTCTTCTCCTATTCCCCTTTCCTCTCCTGTTCCTCCGGCTCCATCCACTCCCTTCCTCCTTCCCCATTCGCCGATGCCTTCCCCGATCTTCTCTCTCCTTTCCGTCGTCGTCGTTCTCCTCCTCCTCCCCCTCCTCCTCTTTTCTTTCTCGTCGTCCCCCTGCGTCCCCCCCTCCTGTTCCTGCTCGCCCCCGTCTTCAGCCTCGTCGTCGTCCTCGTACTCGTCGTCGTCGTCGTCGTCGTCGTCTTTTTCCTCTTGCTCCTCGCCCTGCTCCTCCTCCCTTCCTCCGCGGCAGCAGGCAACTGGATTGTCAATGAACGTGTTCAGACACAGCCCCGCCGCAGGTGCTGATGTGCTGTTGTAGAGTCGGCGTGGGCCGGATCGGGGGAATGGCACGGGGGCGCTTTCACAAACTGGTGCGAGCAAGCCCGCCGCAGGCGCCGATTTGCGTGCTCTGACAAGTTCAGCGCGGGGGGGATCGTTTGTGGGCCACCTGGAGCGATTGCAAAAGAAGCCCGCCGCAGGCGCCGAAATTTTGGCTTGTTCAGTGAACGTGGTTTGGGCCGCGGGTGGGTCGCGGGATCTCCACTTCCACCTGGAAGGAACTCGAGAACAGCACGCCGCAGGCGCCGAACATTTTGATGTGTACACTGAATGCGGTTTGGGTCGCAGTTTCTCCATCGGGAGCGAATGCAAAAGAAACCCGCCGCAGGCGCCGAAGTTTTGGCTTGTTCAGTGAACGTGGTTTGGGTCGCGGGTGGGTCGCGGGTTTTCCACCTCCACCTGGAAGGAATTCAAAAACAGCCCGCCGCAGGCGCCCACACCATTGATTTATACACTGAACGCGGTTTGGGTCGCGGGTGGGTTGCAGGTTCTCCACCTGGAGCGAATGCAGAAGAAACCCGCCGCAGGCGCCGAACATTTTGGGTGGGTCGCGGGGTGGGTCGCGGGTGGGTCGCGAGTGGGTCGCGGTGGGTCGCGGGTGGGTCGCGTGGCACGTGCCGCCGGTTTGGGGAGTCCGGGCGGGTCGCAGTCAAGGCCCACCTGGACGATGCGAAACACACGTGTGTAGGCGCGCGAAAATTTGTAGTGGGTCGCGGAGGGGTGGTCGCGGATGGGCTGTCGCGAGGTGGGTAGGTCGCGGTGGGTCGCGGGTGGGTCGCGGTGGGTCGCGGGTGGGTCGCGGGTGGGTCGCGGGTGGGTCGCGGGGTGGGTCGCGGGTGGGTCGCGGGCGGGTCGCGGGATGGGTCGCGGGTGGGTCGCGGGTGGGTCGCGGGTGGGTCGCGGGTGGGGTCGCGGGTGGGTCGCGGGGTGGGTCGCGGGTGGGTCGCGGGTGGGTTGCGGGGCGGGTCGCGGGTGGGACGACGACAACAACAATCAATAACAACAACAACAACAACAACACCAACAACAACAACAACAACAACAACAACAACAACATCAACATCAACACCACCAACAACCATAATCCGCACCGCGGAATTCCATTTCCGCCACGCACCCAGGGACAGTGAATGACCGTTCGGTTCAGCCCCCTCACTCCGACGATAACAATATTTTGATGATGCTGCTGATGCTGCTGATGATGCTGCTGCTGATGATGACGATGATGGTGATGACGGTCCTATGATGATGCTGATGCTAATGTTGTTGATGGGTGATGATGATGGTGGATGGTAGTGATGGTGCTGATGCTGATGAGGCTGCTGCTGCGGATGGTGATGATCATGATGATGATGACGGAGACAATGGTGAACATAATGATGACGATGCTGATGATGATGCTGCTGGCGATGATGATGGTGCTGCGGCTGTTGCTCGTGTTTGTGATGGTAAGGACACTGCCGCTGCTGATGATTGCTGTGCAGCTAACGGTAATGACGATGACGTTTGCGATGTCGATGACGACGATGATTGCGCTGCCGCTGCTGATGCTGATGATAATGATGATGCTGATGCTGATGCTGCTGCTGACGATGATGATGATGATGATGATGATGATGATGATGATCATGGTGGTGCTGTTGTTGCTGATGATGATGCTTATGGTGCTGCTCATGGATGTTGCTGCTGCTGCTGCTGCTGGTGTTTATGACGATCGCGATGCTGCTGCTCATGATTGTGGTGATGCTAACAATGACGACGATGACGATTGCGATGCTGTTGATGATGCTGATGATGATGCTGATGATGATGATGACGATGCTGAGGATGTCGACGATGACGATGACTATGATCATGATGTCCGTTTTGGTGATGAGGGCGATGCTAATGATTCTGATGATGCTGCTGTTGTTGATGATGATGATGATGATGATGATGATGATGATGATGATGGTGGTAATGATGATGATGCCGACGACGACGATGGTGGTAATGATAACGCTGTCGACGACGACGATGACGACGGCGACGACGACGATACGGACGCTACTGATGCTGATTATGCTAGTGATGATGACGCTGACGCTGCCGCTGACGATGCTGCTCATGCTGATGCTGATGCTTATGATGCTGATCGTGATGCTGATGCTGCTGATGATGATGATGATGCTGGTGATGATGCTGATGATGATGATGATGATGCTGATGCTGAAGTCGATGCTGATGCTGAGGGTAACCTTGATGACGACGACGATGATGATGATGATGATGATGATGATGATGATGATGACACGGAGGATGACGACGATGATACTGATGATGATGGTGATGCTGATCATGACTGTAATGCTGAAGCTGACGCCGACGCTGACGATGATGACGATGTCGATGACGATACATTTTATGCTGATGATGCTGATGCTGCTGATGCTGATGCTGATGCTTATGCTGCTGCTGATGACGATGCTGCTGATGCTGCTGATGATGGTGATGATGACGATACTGATGCTAATGCTGATGATGATTCTGATGCTGATGCTGAGGCTGGTGCTGACGCTGATGATGATGCTGACGATGCTGATGATGATGCTGCTGCTGATGACGATGATGGTTCTGACGTTGAGGAGGAGGACGATGAGGAGGACCATACTAATCCTAGTAGTGGTCATTAGTCCTAGTAGTGGCCAGAGTAATAACAATGATGTTTTATTATCATTGTTGTCATCATTAACAGCAGCAACACTACCAACAATAATACTAGTACTAATATTAATTATTCTAATAATTACAATACTACTTCTACTACGACTACGACTAAGACTACGACTACGACTACGACGACGATGACGACGACGACGATTACTACGACTACGACTACGACTACGACTACGACTACGATTCCGACTACTACTACTTTTATTACTACTACTACGACTACGACTCGGACTACTACGACTACTACGACTACTACTACGACTATTACTACTACGACTACTGCTACTGCTACTACTACTACTACTACTACTACTACTACTACTACTACTACTACTACTGCTACTACTGCTACTACTACTACGACTACGACTACGACTACTACTACTACTACTACTACTACTACTCCTCCTCCTCTGTTACTACTACTACTACTACTACTACTACTACTACTACTACGACTACTACGAGTACTACGACGACTACTACTACTACTACTACTACTACTACTACTTTTAGTGCTGTTGCTACTACTACGACTAATACTTCTAATATGACCACTATTACTATTACCGCTACAAGTAGAGATAGTAATTATTGGTAGAGAAGAAGAGGACTAATGATGATAATGATGATGAGGATGCTGCTGCTGCTGATGATGACGATGACGATGCTGATGATGATGATGCTGATGAGGATGATGCTGATAATGATGATGCTGATGCTGATGCTGATGATGATGATGATGATGATGATGATGATGATGGATGATGCTGATGTGATGATGATGTTGATGATGATGATGATGATGATGTGATGATGAGGATGTGATGATGATGATGATGCTGATGTGATGATGATGATGATGATGATGATGATGATGATGTGATTGATGATGATGATGATGATGATGATGATGATGATGATGATGATGCTGATGATATTGATTGTGATGATGATGATGATGATGATGATGAGGATGTGATGATTGATGATGATGATGATGTATGTGATGTTGATGATGATGATGATGATGATGATTGAGATGGATGCTATGCTGATGCTGATGCTGATGATGATGATGCTGATGATGAGATGATGATGATGATGATGATGAGGATGATGATGATGATAGGTGGTGGTGGGATGATGGTGATGGTGATGGTGATGACGATGGTGCCGACGGTGATGATGACGGTGATGACGTTTATGACGCTGACGATGCTGACGATGATGTTGATGATGGATGATGTTGATGATGATGATGATGATGATGATGATGATGATGATGATGATGATGATGATGATGAGGAGGAGGAGGAGGAGGAGGAGGAGGAGGAGGAGGAGGATCAGGAGGAGCAGGAGGATGAGGAGGAGGTAGTGGATGAAGGAGGAGTAGGTGGAGGAGGTGGAGGAGGAGGAGTAGGAGGAGGTGGTAGAGGAGGAGCAGGTGGTGTAGGAGGAGGAGGAGGAGGAGGAGATGAGCAGAAGGAGCTGAGCTGAACAGCGGCCTGAAGCCAGTGGTGCTTCGAGAGCGCGTCGGCGACGGCCCAAGAGGCGGCGACGAGGAGCCCAAGGACACCACCCCGAAAGCAAGCTGCCCAGGCGATGGCCCCCTGAGGAGGGAGGCCACAGCCAGGCAACCCGCGGCCCGCGGAGACCCAAACCCCCAGCAGCCGCCAGCGGCCGCCCCGCGGACACCCCGAACGGCCAGGTCCCCCCCATGGCCCGTTGACTCCTGCGTTGAGGAAGTGAGCCGCGACCTGGACCACGAGCGCCTCGATCTCGTCCTCCTCCAGGCCGGAAACCACCAGGTCCTCGGCCAAGGAGGCGCCGACGGCGCTTGCGCCCAGGATTTCGTTGACGTGGCACCCCATCAGGCCCTGCTCCAGCATGGCCTCGACCAGGGGGGGTGTCCGAGCCTTACAGCAGGTGGAGCGTGCCCGCGTCCACGTGTTCGCCGAACTCGAGTTCGTCGAAATAATCCTGGAGAGCCTTGGCCTTGGCCTTGAAGGTCTCTGCCAGCGCTGCATAATCGTCATGAACAGCCGCGCCTCTGGACACATCGCTGGGGCCGATGCTGGCCCGCTCCTCGTCCATGTCCAGGCCGACGTCCTTCGGCACCTCGTCGATGCCGTAGTCGGACTCGTCGGCCCACTGCACGCGCGTCTCCAGCTGGATGCCGAAGTCATCGCGCAGCCTCCCCTCCAGCTTGGGCAGCTCCGCAATCCGCTGCACAGCAGACAGCTCCAGCTGGCCGAACTGGAAATCGTCGTTGTCGAACTGCGGCGCCACGGTGCTCAGCAGCGGCACCTCCCCGACGCCTCCCTCTACGACGACCTCCTCCACGATCTCTTCCCCGACGTCCTCCATCTCCTTGGTAACCGTGCTGTCCGAGACCTCGGCCAGCCGCCAGCCCGCAGCAAAGCCGTCCGCAGAGGCGACGGCCTGAGAGCTCCAGTCTGGCGCAAGCCAGCATCCAGGCGCAACCCCGATGCCGACGTCTGCCAGGTCGAACTTGCCGTGCACGATGCCAGTGTCCTCCGCGCAAGGCTGCTCGGCCTCTGCCTTCGGGCTGCCACCGCTGCCCGCGAAGTCCAGAAGCCGTGGCCCCGCCGCAGCCTTGGCAATGGCCGCAGCCGAGGAGCGGGCGAAGCCCTCGGCGGGCGCCTGCGCCGCGTGCCAGGCCGCGTTGCGGCGGTGGCGGCGGCCTCCGCAGACGCGCTCGCCAGCAGCCGCAGCTTGCAGCGCCGGGCGGGCGGCCAGCTCCTGGTCCCGCCAGGGGCCTGGCTCGGGTGCATCCCCGCCGCCGCAGATTCGCCGCGGGCCCGCCTCCAGCGCGTCCAGGCGCCGTTTCCTGGCCGCTCGGCGCGCCGCAGTGGGCACTCTCTCGAGACTTTCCTGCTGTCTGAGAGCCGTGGGGCGCCAAGGCTTCGGCAGCCCTCCGCAGACGTCTCCACCCGCCGCCAGCACAGCCGCCATCGAACGGGAAGGCGCGCGCCGAACCCGGGAAAAACAGCTCGAGCCAAAATGGCTACGGATGAGCAGGAGGAGTAGGAAAGGAATATAAGGAGGTGGATGAGGAGGAGGAGGAGGAGGAGGAGGAGGAGAAAGTGCCCACGGGCACCTCCGCATGCCTGCTATCTCTAGGGTCGTCTTGGAGCGGTGGAAGCCCGAACGAGTTTGGCCTCCCAGACCCACTTGGTGCTTCTTGGAACCCTCTCGTGGGTCTTGCGGCTCTCTTGGGCCGTCTAAATTCCATCTTGGGCGTCTTGTAGCGATCTTGGGGCGACTCGGGGCCCTGCTGGATCGTCTTGGGAGCCTCTCGAGGCCGTTTCGGGGCAATCTTGCCTCTGGAAAAGTCACGCGGGAATACGCGGCAACACGCGAGACGCCCTGGAAGCGCCTAAGCGTGCCCGGAACTCCTGGCTACTTGAAGCAGAGTTTTACATAGACCCCGCAGTTGCGGATGAGAGTGAGGGAGCGATTTCGTTTTTACGCATTGCATAGCTAGCTCACAACAGGCGCAGAATTTTCGTCAAAGCGTTGTGGGTGGGTCGCGATTGGGTCGCGGGCAGGTCGCGGGTGGATCGCGGGCGGTTGCGGGTGGGTCGCGGGCGGGTTGCGGGCGGGTCGCAGGCGAGGACGACGACAACAACAGCAAGACACCAGACAAACAGCAATCAAGAAGCTGACAAACATCATCTTCATCGTGGGCACGCGCGCAGTGATGGTGCAACAATACTGCTTGGCCCTCTCGCTCTGACGATCCTATAATCCATACGTTGAACTCTAAGGGTTCAGAGGGCACTCCAACTCGCGCCTCGGGGCGCGGTGGCATATTTGCTTCGTCTCTGGCTTCGCACCAACCCAAACTGCTGGGAAGACGTGTTACACTCATGGAACAAGCGACAGGATGAGAAAGGGGAGGAGGCAGAAGAGAAGGAGCTAGGTTGGACGGGATCAGAACATCGTGGGCTGTGGGCAGGGCGTGCGCTATTTTTCCAAGTAAGCTCCCATACATGAGTTTTTGACCCTGTCTCGGAGTACTTGTTGGACGTTGCCGCCCCCTGGCCGGTACTTTTGCACGCCCTTCCGCACGGATGAAACTCCGCATCCGGACCCGCATTTGACTCGCTTCCTGCCTGTGCAACTTGCTTGTCTGCATTCTTGCTTCAGTGCTCGCTCGCTAGCTTGCGTGCTCGCGTATTCCGTTGCGTGCATGCTTTGCTGCTTGTGCCTTGGCCAGCTTCGCGGCTTGCGTGCGTTATTGCTTGCTTTGCTTGCTTACATGATTGCTCACGTGTTTGCATGATTGCGTTCTTGCTTGTTTTGCGCGTTCGCGTGCGCGCTGGCTTTCTATACCGGATTGCGTGCGCGCTTGACTATAAGCTTTCTTGCATGGTTCCTTGAATGGTTTCTTGCTTATCTGATTGTTTGCTCGATTGCTTGCTTGCCTGCCTGCTTGCGTGCCAGCTTCTGTGCTGGCTTGCTCCTGTGCTTCCTTACGTGCTGGATTGCTTGCATTCTCTCTATGCCTCATTGAACACTATATTGCTTCATTGTCGCGTCCGCTTGTTTTGTGGAAATATTTTTGATGGCTTTGGGGCATTATTGCTCTACTTGCTTGCGTGCCTGGCCGAACTCTTAAACGCTTGCTTTCACGCATGCTTGATTGTGTGCCTGCTTGTCTGTTTGACAGTTTGGATTCTTTCTTGCATGCCTGTTCGTCTGCGTGTGTGTGTGTGTGTGTGATTGCTTGCTAGCGTACTCGCACCGCTTCTCATGCGTCCTTGTATGCAGGGTTGCTTGCTTGCATTCCGGTGCTACACTACGGCCGCCTTTGTGTAGAATCACGGTTGATAGATGTCTGCAGGATCGGTTTAGATTGGAATGCGAGATGAGCGCAGGGTCCATAAGTACCAGGTCGACCCTTGTGAATTTTGTTCGGGAGACAGCGCTCCCTTGAACAAATCGCTTATGTGCAGAACGTGGACGGTGACTGCAAGGCGAAGTGCAGGCCTGCGCTCACAAAGGAACACGTATCATAGTCCCTGACTTTCTGCGAGCGCACCGCGCCAAAACATTGTACGTTCGTTTCGGAGGAGATGGGTAATCAAACAAGTTTAGCTTTGCCTCGCGGCTGCCAGCCACAACATCACCGAGCTTAAGCTCCGTAGTCGTCTTGGCCCAGGCTACTGGCTCAGTTGCGCAGTTTTGCTGGGAATATGCTGGGTCGCACTCGAGCGCCGCGTTTCTCCCTGAAGCGATGAGCAACCCATCAATTTTCGCCATCAAGGTTCGCAAGCTGGCCTTGCAGGCGCGCAATGCTGGCCTGCCTGGAGCCGTCCTTCTCCTCGGGAGTTTCGCAGTGGCCCTCCAGATGTGCTCTGCGGGTCCTCTGTCCTTGCTGCGCTATGCGCTCTCTGTGCTCTTCGGCTTGGCGCGGCCAGTGCCAGGTGGTATCCGCAGAGTCAGTGGCTTGCGCGTGCCCGCGGGCATCGGCGGTGCCCATCTTTCCACCGTGGCCTACGTGCGCGACGGAGGGCCTGCGCCATCTCTCCTCATTCGTACCCCCTACGGTAAGCATATCATCGAACTTCTCGGGTATACTGTAGCTTCTCAGGGCTTCAATGTGATCATACAGGACTGCCGTGGGCGCTACGACTCGACAGGCGAGCAGACTTTTGCTTCATTCGAAGACGTTGACGGCGTCGCAACTTTGGACTGGTTTCTAAAGCAAGGGTTCGAGTGGTACGATCCGACTCGTATCGTCATGTTCGGTATCTCCTACCTTGGTATTGTTCAATGGGCAATGGCTGCGGGTCTCGCACGAAGACGGGCGGCTGCTGCCATTTGCGAGAATAGTGTCGAGGGATCGAAAGATTCGAGGTTGCTTGCTATAGCGCCTTTGTTCGCAGCCTCGCGCACGTACGATGTATTTATCAGTGGTGGCACCTTCAGGGTAGACTTTTTCATCCGCTACGTGCACTTCATGCTGAACATCAACTCGCGGGCTAGCCAGGCACGGCTTCCAGCTGCCTGCGGCAATTCCAGGACTTGTGACAGCGCAGCGCCGATCACGCTGCTTCTACC